CTGGATCATTTAATATTCTGCCTACAGCATCCTTGATTATAGCAACTCTAGGTTTGAATTTGTTCTTCAGTTCCTTGAGCTTAAGAAATGCTGAGTGAGTTCAGCCCTTTTGATTTTCTGACTCTAACTCCTTACACATTTCAAAGGTAAACAACCCAATCAGAAAATAGGCACAGGATATGAATAAACACTTCACCAAACAAGACATTCAGGTGGCAAGCAAACACATGAAGAAATGTTCAAAATCTCTTCTGGTCAGAGAGATGTAAATCAAAATAGTTATGAGATATCATTTCACCCCAACAACAATAGCAAAATTCAACAGGTCAGCAAACAACAAATGCTGGTGAGGTTGTGAAAAGATTGGAACTCTGTATTCACTGCTAGTCACTTCAGTGGTGTGAACTCACCAGGAACTCCTCTGCCTAGAAGACCCTATGATACAGTCCTGCTGTCCCCTATAAGGCTACCATAACTCAGAACTAACTTCCTCGCTGGTGCATAACAACAACAAAATGATAGGTCTTTCTTACCTTCCCCCTTCCCATGGCCTTTGTCCTTGTGTTTTTATGTGTGGTTGCCACAAAAACGGGAGAATTTGGAACCAGAAAATTGGAGAATTGGGATATAGTAAATGCTTTTGCTTACTTCAACCCATGCCACCACCCAGTAGTTTGGGCTCTAAATACACAGGGTGGTGTGTGTTAGGATATGCCTTTATTGCTGCTGTAAACTATAAAATCAGTGAGATATGGTTGTTGGGAATCCCCCCCCCTTTTCATTGTTTCAAACCAATGAGTGCTTTTTCCTTTCAGGGTTGAACTAAATCGCTGACCTTGTGCCTAATCTGTTTTTCCACAGGCTGTTGAGGCCCCTCAGCATGGAGGGGGATGGGCAGGCTGGGGTTCCTGGGGCAAATCTCTGCTCTCATCAGCATCTGCCACAGTAGGTAAGCAGTATTTGTTGCATTTAAATGGGTGAAATCCTGAATCCTAATAGGATATGACATTCCTAATAATGTGATATGGCCGATAAAGTTGAACATTAGCCTGTGAAGTAATAAGGGCAAACTTTTTATTTAATGCAAAGTATTTATCATCATCCTGATAAATTCTGTGCTCTAAAAAAATCAATTCAACTTTCACAAACATTTGAAGCATTTGAAAACACCATGACTCGGTCAGGCACATTTGAAACCGACCGCCTTCCTCTTCAGCACTTTAAGGAGATCCTTGGCAGCACATTTGCTCAATGCAATAGACACCGTTTGATTTCCTGACTCCTGCTCCGTGGATGATGATTGAGGATCCAAAGGAAATATAATCTTTAATAATGCCGGTCTTTTCTCCATTTATCCTAATGCTGTCTATTGGTCAAATTGTGAGGGCTTTTGTTAAGGCATTCTGAAGCTTCATCTGACATACTTTGGACATGTTGCAAGGAGGGACCAGTTCCTGGAGAGGAACATCATGCTTGGGAGGGTGGAGGGGACAGCGCAGGAGAGGAAGGCCCTCTATGAGATGGATTGATTCAGTGACTGGGGTAATGGGGGTAGGTGTGCCGGACACAGTGAGATTGACAGGACAGAGCAGGGTTCAGAGCTTTTGTACATAGGGTTGCTATGAATCACAGGCAACTCAACAGCACATAACAACAACAAGGTGTAACCTATAGTGAAGTCTACAGTCTTTGATCTTCAGTAATACTTCAAGTCCTGTTTACTTCCTGCAAACAAGGTTGTATCATCTGCATATTGAAAAATCATCTTGGTTGGTAATGAATTTGGTCTTCCAGCAGATTCTATTGTAGGCAGGACATTCACTTTCTTATTAAACTCCTAATTCTACATTCATTTCACAGTAAACACAGAACTCATTTGCCCTGTGGTAGAAGCTCCAGGTGCTCTTATCCCCTTTTATCTCACCTGTTACATGGAAGCTTCTCATTCAGCGCTTGTAAGTGCTCTTGTCACTTGAGCTTCTCTCCCCCTAGTGGGTGGGGGTTGCTGTTGGTTCCTGTCAGTGAGCAGCTACTCCTTCTCATTTGACTTTGGGCCTTGTTGGACCATCACAGAATTTTCCATCGACTGACTGACATCTTGGCTGGCAAATTTACCACCTGTACCTCATCAGGAGTCTTCTTGTAATCCGACCTTTGCACAAAGGCAGCCCAGTTTTAGACCTGGTTTCAGTGCACTGGCTGCGCTCCAAGGCTTCATTCCTTGGTTCAAGTCTAACCAGTGAATGATGCTGACTCTGCCACTTAAAAATCAAATGTGTTTTCAGGGGCACATCCACTCTAAACTGGTCTGGCTTGATCTGAATTCAGCATACTAATCTGTAGTCTGTGTTTCTCTTTGGTGTTGTTACTGAACTTTCCCCATGTCTGAAGCACTGTAAAGATTATAAACATTGTGCCTTGTTACTTTGGCAACTGCTGTTAAAATTGGCCAATGGTAGCCAACTCTATGGAGCAATTGATCAAGAAGAACCTAGAAGGGGTCCTGCCCATAAACCAATATGATCATGCCAATAACTTTTATCTCCTAATTATGATCGGTGAAGGTGTGGTTTCTTCGATTGCGTATTTGTGCATTGCCCTTAAAATGTCAGAACCTATAACTATCAAATCAACTCTGATTATTGATGCCTCTGAATTTCAATCTTGATGAAAAGTATTAAATATCTCATGGTATGCTAAAAGAACAAACAAGTCTGTCTTGGAGAAAGTGCAACCAGAGTGCTTGTTAGAGGTGAGGATGGTGAAACTTCATTGCACATACTTTGGGCATGTTGTCAGGAGGGGCTAGTTTTTGGGAAAAGACTTGCTAGGAGAGATCGAGGGTCAGTAAAAGAGAGGAAGACCCTCTCTAGTTGAGGGTCTGGTTTGACACCATGACTACAACAATGGGCTCGAGCATGGTGCGGATTGTGAGGATGGTACAGGACAGGGCAAGGTTAAGATTTGTTGTTCAGAGGACGCTGTGAGTTGTAGTCAGCCGATGGCATTCTGGGCTCCACAGTGTTTTCAATGGCTTATTTTGCAGAGTAGGTCATTGGACCCGTCTTCTGAGATGCATCTGTGGAGTCAAGCTTGCAGCCTTTCAATTTGCTGTCAAACACATTAACTGAGCACCCAGGAACTACTTCCACAACAAATTGCTGTAAACCACATATATCTTTTCTCTCCATTTCTTGGGGTAAAGAGATCAGGCTTAGCTCCATCATCTGTTCAGTGGCTGTTCAGGTGAAAATGAAGACTGAGACTCAAGGTCACCTTCCCGAGTCATTTGGGCCCACACACAGCTCTTTGCAGTTGCAGGTATGATGTGCCTCTTTTTTTTTTTCATTTTATTATTAATTTTAATGAACGTTTTGGAAGGAGGAGTGGCATCCACTTTCATAATAGCTTGCCTCTGGAAACTCTATGAACTGGAGAAAGGACAAAAGTTATATAGGTGTCCAGGACTTTCATCCATAGGGTCGCTATGAGTCACCTACAACTCCACAGCACTTAACAAAAACAACAACAATGAACGTTTACAGAGACTTTGGATTTTCATTCATTCATTGTTGCATTTTTCTCCCTGCCCCCCCCACCACCACCCAGTTTGCTCTTCTCTTTGAAAAATAAAAGAAAAATTCTTCCATTGTTATATGATCTCTGCCCCCCTGCCGCTCCCCCCAAAGTCCACTCCACTTATGCAGCCTTCATTCTGGACTCCTGTCGTGACAATAATAATAGATGTGCCTCTTTTGGGGCTGGTTGTCAGCTGGAGTCACTCTCCACACCTAGAGACCACGCTCTAGTCCTAGCCATTTGCCCCTCGAACAAGCAGCCATCAGCTGTTAGTGAGCAGTCACTATCAGCACGTGTCTCTGAAGACTAAGGTGAGTCTGATACAAGCCATGGTCTTTGCAATCACTTGTTATTTATCAGAGAGTTGGGCAATGACTAAGGAGGATAGAAGGAGTATTGATGCCTTTGAGCTGTGGTGCTGGACAAGACTATTGAGGGTACCATGGACTGCTAGGAAAACAAACAGATTTGTCCTGGAAAGGGTTAAACCGGGCGGTTCCTTGGAGGCAAGGATTCTGAGGCTCCGTCTAACATACTTTGGACATGTTGTGAGGAGAGACCGGTCCTTGGAGAAGGACATCATGCTTGGGAGGGTGGAGGGACAGCGCAGGAGGAGAAGGCCCTCTATGAGATGGATTGATTCAGTGACTGGGGTAATCAGGATGAGTGTGTCAGAGACAGTACAATTGGCACAGGACAGAGCAGAGTTTAGCAACTCGATGGCACATAACAACAACAACCACCACCTGCACTTTGGCTGGGTCAATTCTTGGAACCTGAATTTAGTGGAGGGAGCTCTGTTCCACATGTATTTATTGGGGACCCAGGAAAAAGGAGCAACAGCTGCCTCCTCTCAGAATATTCTCTCTATTGTGAAAGCAGAAGTGTGGGAGAAAAGACCTCATATAACAGACTTCATAGATAAACATTGTGTTGTTGCTGTTATGTGCCATCAAGTTGCTGGTGACTCATAGTGACCCTATGTACAACATCTCTGAAGCCTACCCTGTCCTAGCAAATCTCACAAATGCCAACACACCAACCCCCATAGCCCCATTTACTGTATCAATCCATCTCATCCAGGGTCTTCCTCTCCTGCACTTTCCCTCTACCCTTCCGAATATGATGTTCTTCTCTAAGGATCGGTCCCTCCTGGCCACATGCCCAAAGTATGTGAGACAGAGCTTCAAAATCCTAGCCTCCAAGGAGAAACTTGATTTTACTCTCTCCAAAGAGAGACCTATTTGTTTTCTTGGCAGTCTATGCTATGTTCAAGACCCTTCTCCAGCACTACAACTCAAAGGCATCAATTCTTCTTCTGTCATCCTTAATCACTGTCCACCTCTCTGATGCATAGTAAGTAATTGTGAAGACCATGGTGTGGATCAGGTGTACCTTAGTCTCTAAACTGACATTGTTGCTTCTCAGTACTTTGGAAAGGTCCCTGACTGCAGATTTACCTAATGCAATTTGTCTTTCGATTTCCTGGCTGCTGGTGCCAAGGGATAAGCATTGTGGTGATAATCCCACAGAGCCGAGCCCCCTGGCTAAACCAAAAGTCAAGGAATGGAGGAGAAAACACCCCCAATGTGGGAGTAACTGCAAAATTACAAGGCAAAAAGCCAAGCTATAGCAAGGAATGAAGAGTTGGAACCAATAATTTAATTTCCCACATGAAATGAAATGGGGAACATCCAAGATTAGCAAGACATTTGAAGTCTATTTTTGAAAGGATATATATTATCCCAGGAAAGTCTTCCACATATAATGGTCGTTATGTTGTTATTATCGTTGACCTAATCTGGGGATAGTGATCCATTAGAGAGAAGAGAGGTAGTGTAGGTGCAGCTTCCATTATGGAGAGGCATCACATCAACCCTTAAGATTTTGAAGCATTCACAGTTGATTATCATGGGGCAAAGAAACTTATCAGGAAGCATGGCACTCACAGCAGTAGACAAGTCCTTGAAGGTTTATAAATTGCCTGTGGGAAGTAAAGAAAATAACCACACGTACAATTGCAATTGATTTGCTTTCAGAAAGCTCACGTTACCCCCCAGGTAATTCCAACTGCAGATAAGAGTGCAAAGCACAGAGGCCTTAACAGAACACAGAGCCATGAACCCTAAAAATAGACTTCTTAAGCTATTGAGAAAGTGCAGTTAGGATGGTTAGAACTACTTAAGATAGGCGGGAGAGTAAATGGAGAAGAGCAGAGTTAGGCAGGTGGTATCCTCTTAGGAAAAGCACTGTAGTAAGAGTCTTAAGTCCTGAAACCCAGTCCTGCCTCTACTACTAGGTCGTGATGACATGAGACTATATGTGTATTTGTTTCCTACAATTGCTGTAACAAATTATCACAAACTTGTG